TGCGTAAATTTAATCTTTGGAAGTCTTTATAGGTAAATAAGATTATTTAAGAGCTTTTATGCTAAATAAAATTGAGTTATATGTATGTAAATGCCCAAATGTAAAAATTAGAAGTTAGATGTTATCCCTGTAAATACATAGGAATTGGGTGTGCTTTTTGTAAATACAGCCTAAAAATAATACATTTTTTTAGTCATGCTGTACGTCCACCGAACTACCGCCAGGAGGCTTCACCGCCCGTCTCTCTTTCAACACCCGCCTCACCATTGCCATCTCATTCCACCTTCTCCCATCTCCATATATATTCGACAAATGTATGTATCTCCCGCCATGGCTTGGCTCAAGCTCGATTAACCATCTGCTGATTTCTTCGCCAAGCTCCATCTCACCATGGATCCTACAAGCTCCAGCCAGCGCTCCCCACACTCCCGGATGCGGCTCAATCGGCATCCTCCCGATGAAATCCAAAGCCTCTTCAATTAAACCAGCACGCCCCAACAAATCCACCATGCACCCATAATGCTCCTCTTCAGGGACGATGCCGTAAACCCTAGTCATTTCGTCGAACACCATTCGGCCTTCTTCGACTAGACCGTTGTGGCTACAAGCGCTGAGCAAATCAATGAATGTTATGTTGTTGGGTGATACTCCGGCGAGCGTCATTTTGTAGAAGAGCGTTAGGACCTGTCTTCCGGCACCGTTCATGGCGAGACCCGTGATTATCGAGTTCCAGGTATAGATGTTTCGTTCTGGCATTGTGTTGAAGATATGTATGGCTTCTTTTATTCCGCCGCATTTTCCGTACATGTCGACCAAGGCGGAGCCGATAATGACGGTTATGTTGATGCCTAGGGTTTCTATGTAGCGGTGGACAGATCGGCCATGTTCCAATGCTCGGAGTTGAGAGCAAGCCGATATAGTGCTTACAAGCAGAGGCTCGTTCGGCTGGACGCTTTGCCGAGCCATCTTATGAAAGATGGCTAGCGCCGTCTTGGTGAGGCCGGCCTGTACGAAGCCGGAAATCAACGAGCTCCATGAGGCAGAGTTTCGGACAGTCATTTCGTCGAACAGATGGCGTGCTTCCAGTGTTCGCCCGGCCCTCGCGTAGCCGGCCAGCATTGCGTTATAAGTTACGAGATTACGGCTCGGGGCGCGATTGAAGAGTGACCGCGCTACGTCAATTGCTCCGATGTTGGAGTAACCGGTGATCAGGGCCGTCCAGGTGACGACGTCGGCGGATTCAATGTGTTCTTCGAAAACCCTCTGGGCTGACGGCATGTCAAGCAGAGTTGAATACATAGTGATGGTGTTATTGGTGATGAAGATGTCCCTTTCGAGGCCGAGCTTTGTTGAGTGACAGTGGAGGGAAGTACCGGGGTTGGGGAGACGAAGGGAGGAGCAGGACCGGAGGAGGAATGGGAGAGTGAGGTGGTTAGGGGAGAGGCCGGAGCGAAGCATTTGGGCGTAGAGGTGGAGGGATTGGATGGGTTGGGGACTGTGTGAGAAAGCGCGGATCATGGTGTTGTAGGAGAAGATTGTGGGTGATGGAAGGGAGCTGAAGAGGGAGCCAGCGTGCTTCAGGTCTCTGGAAAAGGGGATTGCAGCGGCGGCAAGGAGGCGGGAGGTGGCAAACGTGTCGGTGGTCCGGCCGGTGACTATGAGGTGAGCGTGGGTGGCTTTGATCTCGGAGGAACAAATAAAGGCGGTGAGGGAGATGGAGAGGTTGGGGTGAAGGAGGAGCGCTAGTTTCTTCGCCAGCATTCCTCCGGTTCTTGTACGAAGACCAGGACCTCCCTGTGGGGAGAAAAAAAAAAAAAA